TCTCTCACAGTGGGACGGAAACATCTGCCTCTGGGAGTATCACCAAACAGACTACGACGAAGACGATCTCGGCGACCCCCAGCAGCTTCTAAGCGGCCAAGAAAAGTACACCCGGCTGCTCGGCACCCCACACCAGTAGCCTTTTCCCCCTGGCCGGTTGGCCACCGTTTGGGACTCGCTCAAGGCCGAGAGCGAGGGGGGGGATTAGTCTTGCATTGCCAATAGTTCGAGGGGTTTTTTGCCCAGGCAGGAAGGAAGAGGGGGGGGAGCTTTGGGCGAACCCCGCCACCCCTCTCTTGAACTGACAGCTCTTCCCTCGCCAAAACCTCGGGCGCAAACCGGCTCCAGGACACGGATCGCCCTTCCGTGCGCGGATCCCGAGGATAGCGACCCCGCCGGAGGTCTTTTGTCTGCGCCGGGGCTGATTTTCTGCAGCCCTCCGGATGAGCTGAGCACGAATCCTGGTCTTGGGGGGTGGGGGGTGGGAACAGCTTCCCCCAGGGATGAGGGCCATTGAAATTCACATCTGGAGGGCTACAGCTGGGGAGCCTGGCGCCGGTTGCCTCCGAGGGTCCTTGGAAGGGAACCTACTTTTTTGGGGGGTGTGTGTGTGCACAGAATCATGAAGGGGAAGTCACCCCGAGAACGGTCGGTCCTAAGCTAGCCCGGCCAGTTCCCTAAACCTTAGATGTTCTCGACAAAGCCAGGATTCGTTGGCACCTCAATAGTTACAAGACTTGAATCTCTGTCTGGAGCTTATCAGGGAATGGAAGATATATATATATATATATATATATAATAAATCCAGTTTTTCCTCCGGATCTGAGCTACTGAGAGGCCGGCCGGCGTAAGGGCAGCTGCAGTTGGGAGCTGCCGATCAGGAGATTCCCCCCGAAAGATCCCTGGCGTTCCGAAGTTTTCCTTTGGGTCAGTTGAAAGCCACCCCACCCCGTTCTTGCTGACCCCCTAGGGAGTCTCGGGTGAGGGGGGCTTGCGGGATATTCGTAGGGCCACACAAAAAGATGTCTTCTAGAGATTGTGGCGGAGGGACTGTGATCTTCCTTCACAGTGGTCCCGTTGCCCCCCCTCCCAAAATCCGGAACCTCTTTCCCTTTTTGGGGGAGGGGGGCAGCCCTCTTCAGAAGTTGGGGGGCAGGCATTGCTGTCATCTTTAGCCTTAAAGATGTCCCCCCAACCTGGCCCTTTCTGCGGGGGGGGGGCTCTTGTTCCGAAACGCTCACAGGCGGGGTCTCACCTGCTCTATAAATATAACAGTGAGGTTTCTGCAAGGTTGTGTGTGTGTATGTGTTTAAATGATGGAAGGGGCCACGTGTTGCTTCTGTGGGTGTGAGAAAGCCGAAGAAATCCTTGTTTGTTTTCTCCAGTTGGAGAAGGAGACCCCCCCCTTTCCTTCCTTCCTTTCCCCAGCGGTCCGGCCTTCTGCGGTATTGGGAGGGGGCGCGCCGTGCTGAGGCTCCCTTCCAAATCTAGGTTTTTTGTAGAAGGGGAGGGTCCGGCCCTCTCCCGTTTCAGGGGCGATGCAAACGTCTTGTCCGTCTTAATAAAAGTGGTTGGAATTTGACCGTTTGGATTTCTGCTCGGCCGATCGAGGAGAGAGGTTCCACCTAGGAAAAAAAGGAGACACTTCCTAACAGTGAGGACTTCATTAACCGGCGGAACAGCTTGCCACCGGAGGTTGTGGGCGCTCCCAACACTGGAGGTTTTTAAGAAGAGACTGGACAGCCACTTGTCTGAAATGGTATAGGGCAGTGATGGCGAACCTTTTAGAGACCGAGTGCCCAAACTGCAACCCAAAACACACTTATGCATCGCCGGGTGGGTGTGGCTGCAGTGGTAACGGCAGACTGGGTGGGACTAAAAAGTTGAATCAATTCCAACTTTGCAAGATTTTTTTTCCTGCGAGAAGTTGAAATTGACTGATTAATTAAGCCTCTTCTTTTTGTACACAGCAGCAGAGGCCTAAAGAGAAAAGGTTTTATAAAACCCAGCTGAAGGCCTAGGACTGGGGCAACCGCGTGCGTACCCATAGAGAGGGCTCTGAGTGCCGCCTCTGACATTCGTGCCATAGGTTCACCACCACTGGTATAGGGTTTCCTGCCTGAGCAGGAGGTTGGACTAGATGACCTCTAAGGTCCCTTCCAACTCTTGTTATTTTCAAAAGAAGAACTAGGGGAGACACGTTGCAATATTTGAGGGGCTGCCCCAGAGAAGGGAGGGGGGGGTTCAAGTTTATTCTCGAAAACGCCTGAAGGCGGAACAAGACGCAACGGATGGAAACTGATCAAGGAGAGAAGCAACCAGGAATTAAGGAGAAACTTCCTGACAGTGAGGACAATGAACCAGTGGAACAGCTGGCCACCAGAAGTTGTGGAGGTTTTTAAGAAGAGGCTGGACAACCACTTGTCTGAAATGGTACAGGCTGCAGTGATGGCAAACCTTTTAGAGACCGAGTGCCCAAACTGCAACCCAAAATCCAGTGGTGGGTGGGCATGGCCCATTGTGTGGGTGTGGCTGCCGTGGTAACAGCAGACTGGGTGGAAATTAAAAAGTTCAACCAATCAATTCCAACTTTGCAAGATCTTCCCCCCCCCCCTGAGAAGTTGAAATTGACTGATTGATTGAACCTTTTTTTTTGCACATGGTGGAGGCCTAAAGCGAAAAGGTTTTATAAAACCCAGCTGAAGGCCTAGGACTGGGGCAAAGGCACGCGTGCCCACAGTGAGGGCTCTGCGTGCCGCCTCTGGCACCCGTGCCATAGGTTCGCCACCACGGGTATAGGGCCTCCTGCTTGAGCAGGGGGCTGGACTAGAAGACCTCCGAGGTCCCTTCCAGCTCTCGTACTCCAAGTCTTCTCCCCAGCCCCCCCTCCCTCTCCCCGGTCCCCTAATCCTTATGCCCTTCTGTCCTTGGATCAGCTGTTCCAGCCAAGCAACTCAACGTGCCCGCAGCTGTCGCCGGGCGTCATTCTTACATGACATTTTTTTCTCTCCCCCCTTCCGTTGACTCTTCTTCTCTCCTTCGTTCTTCACCGCCGGGGCATCTTTGTGGCCTCCTTCAGGTGGGCCGAGGGGAGGGGGATGGCAGAAAGACCGGTCCCCAAGAAGCCCTTCTCGCTGCTGGCCACGGGTGCGGGCTGGGCCCAGGCCCTGGTGATTTTCTGGAGCAACCAGTACGCCTGGCTTCTGGGGGTGCCGGGCCTCCGTCGGGCTTACCACCTCTGGCTGGCGGTCGTGGTCATTTTTGGGCCCCTGCTCCAGTTCTACGTGAATCCCCAGGCTATCTTTGCCAACCATCACAACTTCTTTAACATGTGAGTGATTGCGGGGGGGTCTTCTTGGGGGGGGGCTGGGTCCTAAGGAGGAGAGGGGCGAGCATGGTGGGGGCAGCCATCAGCTTGGGAGGAAAGGGGCGATTAAATTTTATTTATTAGACTAGCTGTCCCCGGCCACGCGTTGCTGTGGCTCAGTCTGGTAAAAGCGTGTGTTGCTTTTACGGCCAACAGATGGCGCTGTTTTTTTAAAAAAAGCATGTTTTTACCTGTCACAGGTGTGACATCTATATAATAGTAGGTACATAAAAACGCGCGCGTATTCGAATGCAACGTTGTGTCAAAATTTCAAGGCAATCGGTGAAGACCTTTCGGAGATTTAAGATTTTGAACAAACGAACATTTACATTTTTATTTATATAGATTTCTATAGTTGCCCACCTCAGCAAAAGGACTAATTCCAAAACACGTTTTGCATCTTTTTCACATTTTAAACGCTGCTTTGCGCGAGGTCACCCAAGGTTGCAGGTAGTTCCTCACAACCGTTCCTTTTGTGACCGTTCAAAGTTACGACAACTCTGGGAAAACAAAGAGGCTTATGGGTTTTTTTTTGTTACACACGGTTGCAGCACTCGCGTGATCCAAATTCAGCCGCTCGGCAACTGGCTCTCATTTACGACGCTCATAGCGTCCCGGGGCCACGCGATCCCCTTTTGCGACCGTCTGACCAGCAAAGTCAACGGGGAAGTCGGATTCACTTAACAACCCTGTTACTCATTTACCGACCGCAGCGATTCATTTAACAACCGTGTCGAGAAAAGTCGCACAATGGAGCATCGCTCGCTTAACAAACGTTTCGCTTAGCAGCGGAAAAACGGGCTCCGTTGTAGTCGTAATTTGAGGACTAGCTGCATTCCATTCTTTCATCCTTAACAGCCTCATATAACAGACAAAAGAAGTTCTCGGCTTATGATTGTAATTGAGGCCTGAATTATGGCCGTAAGCCGTGCTGGTCGTTAAGCAGATCGCCAAATGGCCATGCCTGATTTTTTAAAAAAAAATTAATTCAGTCCTTCAGTTTCTATGGCCACCCAACTCAACTAAGTGACTCTTATCACCTTTTTTTACAGCGGTCGTTAAACAAATTATTGTCCACCATGGGGGTTTTATGCTTGAAATGCCAGTTTCCAGTAAAACAACCTCGTAAATCGTAGTTGGGCGAACGGCTGCAAAGGGTCGTAAATGTAGACAGGTTGCAGAGCATTCAAAATGCGATCACATGACAAACCCAGATCATAAGTGGCCCTGAAACTTCGAACAGTCGGTAAGCGAACAGTCGTAAGCTGAGGACTACCCGCCCTTGATTTCATCATTTATTCGTTCCTATTTTCCCGTTAATCCATTCTCTGATTGGTGTAAAGTCTCACCGTTCTTTACTCGACTGCATCTTCATAAATTGAACGGAAAAAAAATCTATACAGGTAAGTCCTCGGCTTACAACAGTTCATTTAGTGACCGTTCCAAGTTTCAACGGCACTGAAAAAAGTAACTTGGGACCATTTTTTTACACAACGTTCGCAGCATCCCCACGGTCCCGTGATCAAAATTCAGACGCTTGGCAACCGATTCCTATTTATGACGGTTGCAGCGTCCCGGGAGGTGGGGGTGGTGTCACGTGATTCCCCTTCTGCGACCTGACACGCAAAGTCAACGGGGAAGTCAGCCTCACTTAACAGCCGTGTTCCTAACTCAGGGGTAGGCAACCTTGGCTCTTTTATGACTTGTGGACTTCAACTCCCAGAATTCCTGAGCCAGCATGGCTCAGCTTGGAAACCTCTCCCTTTCCCCTCAGCATGGCTGGCTCAGGAATTCTGGGAGTTGAAGTCCACGAGTCATAAAAGAGCCAGGTTGGAAGACCACTCAGTTAGAAGAACATATGAAAGCATAATTAATGTGAGCAGGGGGTTGGACTAGATGACCTCCAAGGTCCCTTCCAACTTTATTGTTGTTGTTGTTAGCCTTTATTAGTTTAGAGCAGGTGTAGGCAACCTTGGCTCTTTTATGACTCGTGGACTTCAACTCCCAGAATTCCTGAGCCAGCACGGCTCAGCATGGAAACCTCTCCCTTTCCCCTCAGCATGGCTGGCTCAGGAATTCTGGGAGTTGAAGTCCACCAGTCATAAAAGAGCCAAGGTGGCCTACCCCTGTCCTAACTGAATGACTGCAGTGATTCCCTTAACACCCGCGGCGAGAAAAGTCGTAAAATGGAGGCAGACTTCACTTATCCTCCGTCTCGCTTAGCCACAGAAATTTGGGGCTCGATCGTGGTCGTACGTCGAGCACTACCTGTAATTCACAGCATCTTCCCTGGAACCAAAATATCCAGGTGGAACCTGGCCACCTTAGCTTAGTGCAGCAGATCCTGGTTTGTTTTTCTTCTCCTCACAGAGCGTCCATCATCCTGAGCCCATTCGGATCTGCGATTCCTCAATCCCACCCTCTCTTTTTTTTCTACCCCCCACCCCTGGCCAGAAAATTCGTCCGATCCGCCTGGAGCTGGAGCTGCATTTTCCTCGGCGGCTTCATCCTTCTAGTGGTCTACCTTGCCACCCACCAGATCTTGCTCACCTTCCGACATCTGGCCCGCTTGGCGGTGGGCGCCGGCCTCTGGCTAGGTGCCACCGAAGCCTTCCTGTTAATCGAGAACCTGACGGGCTACTGCTTCGACCCCGTGCCGGAGGGGATCCTGGTCAACAACCTGCCGGACAAGTGGACATGTCTGCACAATAGCCACAAATGGCACGGCTATGACGTCTCGGATCACACTTTCCTGCTGACCTTCTGTTGCCTGCTGATGGTGGAAGAGACGGCCATCTTCCGGCGTTACCTGGCCCAGGGTCACCCCGCCGGGGTCCCGCTGCGCCTCATTTTTCTGCTCAACGTCCTCCTCCTCCTGCTCTGGAACTTCCTGCTGGCGTGCACGGTGGTCTACCTGTACGATTACAGCCACAAAATTGTGGGAGCCGCCATCGCCACCCTGTGCTGGTTCCTCACCTACCGATGTTGGTACCGCTGCCCGTGCTCTCCGGGGAGACCCGGGGCCGGCCTCTTTCTTCGGGGAAGCCCGAAAGAGGCCCTGAGGCAGAACTGAACGCCTGCCATAAGTCAGGGCGCTCCGTCGGTTGGTCCAAATAAAGGGAGGACGCTTTCCAAAGCTCTCTTTGTGGTTTCCGGGGGTTCCGAAGAAGTAGAGCTCAGAAAAAGGGGTTCAGAGCCCCAAGTCTGTCTCACCATTTTGTTTTTTTTAATTAATGTTGTAGTTTTAAGTAATTAGTGAACTTACTACAGCTACCACTAGAACGCTTATTTCTCAAGCTGGACCCCTTTAAGATGGGTGGACTTCAACTCCCAGAATTCCAGGGATGGAATTGGAAAGGGGGGGGACTGGGGGATTCTGGGAGTTGTAGTACATAGATCTTAAAAGGGGCCACGGTTGAGGAACACTGAGCTAGAACATAATGATAATGGTGGCGAGGAGGAGGAGGAGGTGGTGGTGGTGAAGAAAAGAGGATAGGTGGGGAATATTTTTTCCAAGTTTGGTGCCAAGCTGGCTAAGGAGTTGGGACAAAATGTATTAGGTACAAGTTCAGCCAAAGAAGATTTTTCTGCATTTCCTTATGATATTGTTTATTTCTCTTCGCAGGGATAGACAGAGACAGAGATATAATTCTATCTGTCTATCTCCATTTTACTATCTATCTATCTACATTTTTATGTCCATTTTTCTATATCTATTTATCTGTCTGTCTCCATTTTTCTATATTTCCATTTTTCTATATATCTGTCTGTGTGTCTGTCTCTGTCTCCATTTTTCTGTATTTCCATTTTTCCATATTATCTATCTCCATTTTTCTATATTTCCATTTTTCTATATTTCCATTTTTATCTATCTCTATCTATCTATCTATCTCCATTTTTCTATATTTCCATTTTTCTATATCTATCATCTATCATCTATCAATCTATCTATCTATCTATTTAATCTATCTATCTATCTATCTATCTATATTTTTCTATATTTCCATTTTTCTATATATCTGTCTGTGTGTGTCTGTCTCCATTTTTCTGTATTTCCATTTTCCCTATCTATCTATCTATCCATTTTTCCAGATTTCCATTTTTCTATATCTCCATTTTTATCTATCTATCTATCTATCTATCTATCTATCTATCTATCTATCTATCTATCTATCTATCTATCTATCTATCTATCTATCTATCTTTCCATTTTTCTATATATCTGTCTGTGTGTCTGTCTCTGTCTCCATTTTTCTGTATTTCCATTTTTCCATATTATCTATCTCCATTTTTCTATATTTCCATTTTTCTATATTTCCATTTTTATCTCTCTATCTATCTATCTCCATTTTTCTATATTTCCATTTTTCTATATCTATCTATCTATCTATCTATCTATCTATCTATCTATCTATCTATCTATCTATCTATCTATCTATCTATCATCTATCTATCTATCTATCTATATTTTTCTATATTTCCATTTTTCTATATATCTGTCTGTGTGTCTGTCTCCATTTTTCTATATCTATTTCCATTTTTCTATATATCTGTCTGTGTGTGTCTGTCTCCATTTTTCTGTATTTCCATTTTCCCTATCTATCTATCTATCTATCTCCATTTTTCCAGATTTCCATTTTTCTATATCTCCATTTTTATCTATCTATCTATCTATCTATCTATCTATCTATCTATCTATCTATCTATCTATCTATCTATCTATCTATCTATCTATCTATCTATCTATCTATCTATCTTTCCATTTTTCTATATATCTGTCTGTGTGTCTGTCTCTGTCTCCATTTTTCTATTATTTCCATTTTTCTATATTTCCATTTTTCTATATCTACCTACCTACCTACCTACCTGCCTGCATTTTGCCATCCATCCAATCCAATCTGGCTGGCTGGGGAATTCTGGGAGTTGAAGTCCACAGCTCTTAAAGGGGCCAAGAGCGGAGAAATTCCGCCTAGACTAGAGAATTCATCCCACCGAAACGAAACGAAACGCCCGCGGCAAATCCGAGGACCGCGCCCGACGGTTGCAGAACCCCGGGTCTCAGCAAGCCCCCCCCCCCCAATCCCCACGTCCCCTTCCCCCAATTCCTTTCTTTTGCAATCGTGGAGGATCCGAAGCGCTTCTGCCAAAGGAAGCCCCGCGGGTGGGCGGGGGCCGTGGGCAGCGCCCGGCCTACCTTGCAAGGCGGTTGTGCGTGTCTGTGTGTGTGTTTGTGTGCAGGACCAGGAGTCGCCCCGCTGCTGCCAATTGGGGGAGCCTGCAAAGCAGCCGGTGCACGCCAAGCCGCCGGTGCAATTGCAGCGGGGAGGAGGCTGGCCGGCCGGCCGGCTGCACCGGTTGGATGTCGGCCTGCCGATCCGCCCGGCCCCGGCCCCGCCTCCCTGCGCCGGGAAGCCCTGCCCGGTTTCTTTTTCTCTCCTCCCGCTTCTCTTTCGTTTTCGCTTCGCGCCCAGCTTGTGCCAGCCGCTTCCCGGATCCGCCGCCTTTGCAACCCCCCAGACTCGGGTCAGCCGTTCAGACGTGCAAAAAAAAAAACAAAACCCCAAGCCCCGCTGCTCCCCCACTTCCGATGGCCACCCTGGAGATCTCCCCCGCGTGCGAGGCGCAGGTAAACGGGGGAGGGGGGTCGCGCGTCCCCTCCCACCGCGTGGGAGCTGCCTCCCCTGTTGGACTTCCGCCTGGAGGGCGGCTGAGCGGGTTTAAGGGGCTCCTCTTCCAATGGGAACAGTCCAGCGCGGCTCTTTTTGGGGTGTTTTTTTTGGGGGGGAGAGAAAGCTTCACCTGTTGGACTTCAGCCTGGAGGGTGACTGAGCGGGTCTAAGGGGCCTTTTTTTCCCAACGGGAAAAGCTTCACCTGTTGGATTGCTCCCAGCAGCCAGGCAGGGAGGGACCCTGCTAAAAATGGAGAAGGGGAAAAGGGGGGGGGGCTTGGATTGGGCCAAGAAATCAGAGCAAGATCTGGGGGAGGATGAGGGGGAGGGACCTGTTTGAGGAGAAAAAGCTTCACCTGTTGAATTGTTCCAAGCAGCCAGGCAGGGACCCTGCCAAAATGGGGGAGGGGAGGGGGAGCTTGGATTGGGCAAAGAAAACAGAGCAGGATGGGGGGGAAGGGGGGTTCAGGACTTGTTTGAGGCGAGAAAGCTTCACCTGTTGAATTGTTCCAAGCAGCCTGCTAAAATGGAGAAGGGGGAAGGGGCAAAGAAACCGGAACAGGAACCCCAGATCAGAGTTCGGGCCTGGACTGTTTTGGGAGTAGGCGGGCTGTGTTTTTTTGCAGGAGGGTCAGTAGGGAGAAAGCTTCACCTGTTGGATTGCTGTGGAGCCCCGGGGCTGAAATGGAGGAGGGGAGGGGGCCTGGATGGGGTGCGTGTGTGAATCAGGTCCCCAGTTCAGAAGCCTGCAGGCAGGCAGGGAGGGGCTATCTTGGCACCCCACCCCGTCTCCTGTCAAACGGCCGGCTGAGCGAGACGTCCAACAGGTGTAGGGGGGGATCGGGTGTCCCGGCACCTGGCGAGGCGCCCGGGGTCCTCTTCGGCGCCAGCAGCTGCGGCTGCTTCCCAGTTTTCGCTTTCCTTCCCCATCCTTGTTTCTCTTTCTCTTCACCAGGTGAACTCCTTCAAGGAGAACCTTTGCGTCCAGGTGAGAAATTGGGGGGTACGGTTGTCCTCCTCTTCACACACAGACACACAAACACACACACACACACACACACACACACACACACACACCGGAGAAAATCTGTGCCAGTGCTGAGTCCACAGCGACTTGTTGGGTCTTCAATTCCTCTGCCTTCTGCTTCGTATCTTTCTGTAAAATATTCTAAAAAAATATTGTTATTTATTATTATTAACATTATAAATTATTATTATTATAATAATAAATTATTATTAATATTATAAATGATCTAATGATGCGCCCCCCCATCCCAGCAAATGTAGAGAACGTATAGAAATAAGAAAATACAGAAATAAAACACAGGAATAAAAAGACCAGATGAAAGGGCCAGAAATCAATAATAATAATAATAATAATAATAATAATAATAATAATAATAAAGCGACAAAACAACAAACAAAAACAGCAATAATAAGACTGCAGAAATGGACAGACTTACTTTAAGGGTGAAAGAAAAAGAAGAAACAGAACATTTTCAAACTTGGGACCTACTTTATCAATGGTTAGAGAAAAGATTTAGGGATTAGGAATTTAATTTGTATTAGTGAATAAGATACTCAGAGAACATGTTTTGTTGAATGATTACTATTGAATTGTATAAAAAAAATTAATAAAACTTTGTATAAAAAAAAGAAAACACAGAAATAAAAAGACCAGATGAAAGAGTCAGAAATCAATAATAATAATAATAATAATAATAATAATGCAACAAACCACAACGAACAATAACAACAATAAACAACAAAACAATAATATTAATTAAATAGCAACAAAACAATAATATTAAACAACAAAGCAACAATAACAACAGTAATAATAATAATAATAATAATAACTGCTTCCATATTTAAAGGTGGTTGCAGGTGTGGGTTATTGGCACCAACCACATTTAGTCCCATAAAACATTACAATTATAAAATATTTTTAATTTCATTGAATGTAAAATGGTTTTTATGCCATTGAATGTGAAATATTTTTAACTTCGTTGAATGTAAAACGTTTTTAATTTCGTTGAATGTAAAACATCTTTAATTTCGTTAAATGTAAAACATTTTTAATTTCGTTGAATGTAAAACGTCTTTAATTTCGCTGAATGTAAAATGTTTTTAATTTCGTTGAATGTAAAATGTTTTCATTTTCACTTGAGGTAAAATGTTTTTCAATTTCATTTCATGGGTAAAAAGACCATGTTCGGCGCATCTACAAAATGGACCCCTGTTCTTTTTTTTTCTTCTTTTCCTTTTTTCTTCTTTTCCTTTTGCTGTTTGAAATCCACTCAGACTTTTAATCTTTCCTTTCTTCCTCAGGCTGAAGAACTCGTTGCCAGAAGATTTCCTGAGAAAGTGGTGGAGCTCAGTAATTTTCTGAAGGTGAGGCTGGCCTTCGGGCGGATGGAGAAACGAAAATTAAAAAGATTAAAAAGAACCGTGAATTATCCGGACG